ACGGCCGAGCTCGCCATGGCCGGCGAGCTCGAGCTCGCCCAGATCTGGGCGAGCTCGGCCCTCGCCGGCGACGCGGCGGCGAGGGCCATTTTTCGGACAAAAAAAAAAATTTGAAATTGAAATTTTTCGACCAAAAAAAAAATTTGATGGAAAAAAACTTTCCACGATTTTTCGATCAAAAAAAAATTTGTAATTTCCAACGAAAACAATTCGTCGGAAAAAAAAATTCGTTTCCAACGAATTTAGTCACGAGTTTTCCAACGAAATTTCCAACGAAAATATTTTCGTCGCAAATTTCCAACGAAAATTAAAATTTTTCGTCGGAAAATTTTCCAACGACCTATTACCAACGAATTTTTTTTCGTTGGAAATTCGTTTTCCAACGAATTTTCCAGAATTTTTCGTTGGAAATTTCGTCGGAAAAAATCAGTTTTTTTGTAGTGAATATTTACTCTTGTTTTCGAAAGATAATACAAATTCTTTCTCAACGAAAAATGGAAAAACAAAAAAAAAGGAAAAGAAAATCAACCAAATAATTGTTGTCTTCCAGAAAAGCTCCTAAGATAACCATTGGTAAATTCATCTTCCAGATACAATGAACCTAGACATGCATCCTTCTAGAGTTTCCATTTGGCTCCCTCTTGACCTACTAAGAGTTAGGGTTTCGATTGTACTGAAGTCAGAGTCGGATTCTGCAATGATTATTAATAATTACGAGGAAAGGCAACGTCCAATTTGGGTAGAAATATAATGGCATTTCTTACCAATGGGGTGTGGAAATTTCAAATAAAGCCCTGAATTGGGGTAACTTTCTTAAAAGAGACTTTAAAGTTAATATTATTTCAAATAAGAGTATGAAGTGACCAAATTAATCTCAAATAAGGGATTGAACTCGCCGGTTAGCCAAATTTTTACTGGCCGGCGAGCACTTTACTTTTCCAGTGACTGGACAGGGATATTTTTATCCAAAATAAAAATTTGGATAATGATTAAAAAGAAACTAAAAAAACTAAAAAAAACCATAAAAAAAAGAGAGAAGAAAAAGGAAAGCCATCATTGTCAGCTGCAACATCTTCATTAGGACCCTCGGTTGCGTCCTCACCTGAGGCCTCCTCGCGGACTTCATCATCGTCCCTCGCCAGCACCACGCCCGCTCTCCCTCTAATGACTACACCCTCACTCTCCACAAGGCCCTCATGTTTTTTGGCGCCCGGCGTTGCAAGTCATCCTCTCTCAGAGCTTATCGTTCAACTTCACTTGAGATGCATTTTCATGATTCGACTTGTATTATCCCAATTTGGGTAGTTAGTCTTCCAATTCGGTCTCCAGCCTCTCGATTTGCCATGGATTGAACGAGTGTTCATGGATAGTGTAGACTCCAGACTTCCTATTTCAAACAAATTTTGGCTTTTTTCTACTGCAGCTAGGAAGCTCTCTAAGCATAACAACGTGTCGCAGAGGGGCAACTCCCACCTCCAAGATGGCAAGTCCGAACCGTTGATAGTGATGAAAGATTTGGTGGGAGGGTACTGTGATGCCCGCGACAACATTAAGGGTCTGTTTAGTAACGTTTCTGTTCCTAGAAACAATTTCTGTTCAAAAATAGTTTTTTTCTATTTATATTCCCTAAACGAGTTTCTAAGCAAAAAAACACATTTAGTAACTGTACAAAATTTCTATTCCCAGAGTAGAAAAAGAATATAAATGCGTTTGGTAGAACATTAAAAATTTCCACTCCCAATTTTTTCATTTGATTATAAAATTGTCGATGGAGACTTAACAATTCATGTTTGGATAAAATTGGACTAAAAATAGAATAAAAATACATTATGACATAGAATGGGATGACCTTGATATAATCATAAAAAAAATTACTCCTTGTAGACAAAGCAAATACCGGGTGGCGGTCGAGGAAATTGCAGTTTATGGGACTTAACAATTCATGTTTGGATAAAATTGGACTAGAAATAGAATAATAATATATTATAATACAGAATTGGATGACCTTAATACAATCATATATAAAATTACTCCTTATAGACAAATCAAATATCGGGTGGTGGTCGAGGAAATTGCAATTTAGGGGGTAGGATTTTAGGATTTGGGGTTAGGGGTTAAGGTTTTAGGATTTTGATTTTGAGGTTTGGGGTTTTGGGTTTTAGATTTTGATTTTATGGTTTACAGTTTACGGTTTAGGTTTTAGAGTTTTGGGTTTCGGGTTTTGGGTATTAGGGTTTGGGTTTAGGGTTTGCGGTTTAGTGGTTTAGGGTTTAGGGATTCGGGTTTTGGGTATTAGGGTTTGGGATTTAGGATATAGGGTTTAGGGTTTACAGTTTTGGGTTTGGGGTTTATGGTTTAGGGTTTGGGATTTTGCAGTTTAACGTTTTAGGATTTAGGGTTTGGAATTACAATTTTAGGATTTAAGTTTTGGGATTTCGGGTTTGGAGTTTTGGGGTTTAGGGTTTAGTGTTTCGGGTTTTGGGTTTGGGATTTGGGGTTTAGAAGGTTTAGGACTTGGGTTTAGGGTTTTAGGGATTTGAGTTTTGGGGTTTCGGGTTTTAGAGTTTAGGGTTTCGGGTTTTTAATTTTAGTGTTATGGGTTTTAAGATTTGGGTATTGAGGTTTAAGGTTTTGGGATTTAGGATTTGAGGGTTAAGGTTTAGGGTTTGAGAGTTAAGGTTTAGGGTTTAGGGTTTAGGATTTAGGGTTTTAGGATTTAGTATAAGAATATCTTGTGAAAGAGGGAGAGCTGATATTGTTTCTCTATTATTTCTTTTTTTGTTACAGAAACAAAAAAGTAGATTTTTTTTTTTACTTTTTATTTTTATTCCAAATCTATTCCCTGACCACTTTTCTGTTTCAGGGAACAAAAAAACTATCTGACATTACTAAACGTATTTATGTTCTTTTTCTGTTCTAGGGATCAAAAAAACAGAAAAATAGAGAAATAGAAACGTTACTAAACAGGCCCTAAAGTTCAATTTCCCTTTTGTTTCTTTTCTTTTTTTTTATAGTTTTTTTATTTAGATTTTATTTTGAACAAAAATGCCCTATTCCGACCACTGGAGAGGTAAAGTGCTCACCAACCGGCGAAAATTTAGCCGGCCGGTGAGCTCAAGCCTTTATTTGAGACCGACTTGACCACTTCTGACCTTTATTTGAAACAATGCCCACTTTAGGGTCTTTTTTGAGAAAATGACTTCCCTTCAAGCCCTTGTTTAGAATTTTCCCCGATGAGGATTGTCCGAGCAAAAGCACTGTGGATGATAATATTAGATTAAGACTTAATCGATTCATGTGACTTACAAAATAATTTAGGGTCGCTTAAGCAGTCGAATTTCCACGCTCGTGCTCCTACACTGAAAATGGTGATTATATCAAGCAAAAGCATTTTTGGATGAGGGTAATCATATACTTCGGGAACACATTACTGACCAAATGACGTGCCCCCAAAACTGTTTTAAATAGTATTGCCACTTTTTATATAAGTCGTGGGACAATAATTCATGAAAATTCGCCTTTTTTCTTATAAAGCAAAAACAGAGGTGCTAAAGAATCTTTAAGTACGAAAGTTTGTAAAATTTTGAGGCCGCTGCCATGGTTATTTCAATACTCGGATGCCCTTCCTCACATGTAGACTGGATTTTAACATAAAGATAAGGTGTGAAAATATATAACACGAGAGGTAAATGTGAGATTAGAAAGATTTCAACACGGGGTTTCCACGAACCGCGAACGTGGTGAGAGCATAACCCATGAGTCCTTGGATCGAATCTAGCTCTGATTTCATGCTAATTTTGCAACAACTCAAGATTCAATGTGAAGGCTTGCTTTTAATACAATGGGAATTGATTTCAACAACTCAAAAAAAATACAATGGGAATTGATTTCATCTCAATTAAGAGTAAGCTTTCACAAACACAACTTATTCCAACAATAATAGGAAATTAAGGCAAAAAAAAATACAATGGGAATGGTATTGCTGATAGTGCTCTCCAAACCAAATGAATAATTTATTCTTCCACTTTGATTTTTGGGTGGAACATTATTCTAACCTAAGTTTGAGCTCTCGGACTATGACCGGCAATGTCTTAAACTTGCCATCTCAGTTGGGCACGTTCAGACCTTTCACTCCCATTTCTTTATGCCCCAATTTTGGCTATTTGTGCCGGCTCGAGTGATGTTGCATGACTACTTAATTCCATCATGCAAAAAAGTTCATCATGTTAAAGCGTGTCGTCAAGAATCGATGTTCTGCAATCGCAGGATACACTTGTATCTAGATCATATAAATTTACAAGGTAATAATGTCACTTTTGAATACTAAATTGAACGAATTGAAAAGGCAGGTTGCTTTCATTGGAGCAAAAGCATTACGAACTTAGCATAGCTTCTAAGGTTGAGCTGGAGCGGTAGGTAGAGTTATATTGCATCGACCCGCACCATATGTTTTATTTGTTCATTTATTATTTTGAAGTTCCACTAGGTGCTTGTTTTATTGAGACTAGCACTATGGTGCGATTTCGTTATTCTACAACTGTAGAGCAGCTTGTACTAGATAACCTTTAAGTAGAGATTGATTCTAGGAAGAACAGTGTTGCACACTAAAAAGCGTCAGCAGGCGTAAGTGCCTCTCAAAGGGCAATTTGAGACAATCGAGTCTTGTCAAGAGCACTTTCGAAAGAGTGGCCGTGTTAAAGAAAAGTTAGACATTCGCAAGTGTCAGGGACAAGAACATATCCATGAAAGTGGGCACTAGACAAGCCACGTCCCAACAAAAAAATTTCCCAAGATTTCGACACATCTTAAGCTCCGTCTATTTCGAAAAAGATAAATAATTAAAAAAAAAATTAAATGATCGATTACCATTTGCAAGAATTCGTTACTTCTATCGTACAAACCGTTCTCCCAAGAATTTTTTAAACTATAAAAAACGGGTCAATGTGTTTACAGTAATTTGTAGCATATTTCTTAAGATTTTCGTAGGGTGTAAACAGTCCTTAGGCAAACTCTCTCTTGATTTATATTGAGAAGAATAATAGCACAAAGCACACACATAATATTCATACATCACATCGAGAGAAGAACACATCCTTAGTACATACATCAAACCCAAGCGCTTTCGCTTATCACACTTTTCAGGCTTGCTAGGAACAGCATAGTATATTACAAGATAGTCTCCTCTTTATTCAAATTCCACAGCTATATTTATATAATCCTAGAAGGGAAACTACAAATTGAGGAGACAAGCAAGCAAGCATATGCACGTAGCATCTCTCAACATGCTCTTAAATGGAAGCAAGTTTAGCATTTGGGCATGCATCGATTGCATCCTTAATGGTCAAGAAGACCTTCCCTCCAATTTTGCTCATCAAATTGGTTAGCCTGAGCTTGTGAGTGACTTGCCATTTAGGGTTCACAATAGCCATCTGCGACAAGAGGCAAAAGAAGTTTACATTACATGCTGGGGAATTGATTTATGAAGTTCAACTCCATTAAAAAAGAGGAATTATGTATACACAACTTTGTTTTAATTACCTCAACTCCATGGGAAACCAGATTCTTGTGCAGTTCCTCCAGAGAAGCAATCCCAGATGTGTCAATGCTCATCAAATCTAACATTACAGAGAGCAGGTATTTTGTCAAATACAAAGTTATTAGTGCGTCTCCATATGAACGTGTATGTTTACCAAGTACTTACTAGACAAATCAAGGATGATTAGTTGAGTGGATTGGAAGTCATCAATCTTGCTTTCCCCTTCATCTTCTCGACCGATCCGTTGCATAATCCTTGCATAGAGTGAAACGAGGATACAGATATTAAGTGGTTCTTAGTGTAAAGCACAGCATAAACTATATGATCAGTCTATGTCCTGAATCGCATTTGATGTAATGCTATAGCCTATATAAGCACCTTTCCTTGATGAAATTGGCGTTGGCGAAACAAAGCAAGGAAGACTTAACGCGGACGACCATCACACCCGGGATCGTAATCGCCATCGGGTATTGGTCTACATTGCAGAACGTGTCAGTTCCCGGAAGGCGTCCGAGTGTTTCAATCCCTGGTTGAATTGAAATGAGTATGATCTTCACAAAAGACACCGTCACCTGTAGTAGGCACTTTGGCCGTCAGAACAAGATTTGGACGAACAATTCATAAAAAACGAGACAATGGGACGATATCTATGGAACTTATATATTCTGTGACTTTCGTGTTCCTATCAAGAATTGTGGAACAGGAACTTCTTTAGATATGAGGGAATAGCGAATTTATCAATCATATAGGATTTTAAGCAATACCGCGACTAGTAGACCAATCTCTACAGATACGAACAGGACGCCCACGAATGCGCCAATGCAAGCAAGGAAGTCCATCTTATCGACTTTCCAGATATGATAAGCTTCGTGTAGATCAATGAGTCCCGGAAGAGCCACAAGAATGATGGATGCAAGGATTGCAATTGGAGTATAGTAGAGAAGTCTGGTGAACAGTTCCAATGCCATCAGCACCGTAATGGCCATCACAATATTCGATACTGGAGTCTCACAGCCGGCACTGAAATTCACCGCAGTGCGCGAGAAAGAACCTAAGAGAATGCAACACATCCTAAATGGGTCATGAATGTTTGCAAAAATCTTTCTTTAGACCATTTTGGTTAGTCCTTTCCCAACATGCAGCTCCGAAAGAGGCTTACCGGTCGCTGTATAGCAAGAAGTGATTGAGCCAATTATGTTGGTGAAGCCCATGGCCACCATTTCCTTGTTTCCGTCAAGATGATAACCTTTTATCGCAGCAAAAGAGCGACCAACCGCCATGGCTTCCTAAATTTCATACAACATAAACTTTGTGTAAACAAGTATTGAAAATATTCCTCCACTAATCTTAATTTCAGGAGTTAGTCCATTATTGGATACCCACAGTGAGCGCGACAGCACCAATGATAAGACCGACTTTAGCGACTTCACCGATGTAAGGGCTGCCAAATTGCAATTGCTGAGCCGAGATCGGGTTCAGGCCTCCTTTGATGTGCTTGATGATTCTGACTCCGTGCTCGTCCGCTCTCGTGACATACACAAGGACCGTCGCCAAAATCACGGAGATCAGAGGCGAAATGGTCGCCAAGCAGAAGAACTTCCTGTTTCTTCTTCCCTGCAAAAAATTGGCTACTACAATAAGAACTTTGAATCGGATAGAACGTTTAATAGTGAGGACAGACAAAGGTGACCAATTTTTATATTTTTCTCTTTTGACTTACTAGGAATCTGGTAATGAGGATGAAGCTCAAGAACGCACTCCCAAGAAGGAAATTGTAAGGATTCCACTGCCCCTTAAGAACGAACACGGAATAACTTATACTATAATCAATTTACTTTCTTGTTCTCTTTCATGTGTTTCCGAAGATAATATATGTATTAAAGTGGAAATTGATTTATAAATTCGGCAAAGACTGATTACAGAGTCGTGATGAAATGATCTCCAGACAGATTGCATGACCGAGACAACGTCAGTTCGGTTCGTAAAATGAGTGATTCCAAGAAGTCCTTTCAGTTGCTGGAAACCGATTACGACGGCCGCACCGGCCATGAAACCAACAAGCGCTGCATGTGAGAGGAAATCTACCAGAAATCCGAGCCTTCAACATCAAAAAGTAAATAAGGAAAAAAATACATGACCCAACATTTTAGCCACGATAGACAAAAATAATGAGAACCACCTTAGGAGTCCCGAAACAGCTTGAAAGACACCGGCAAAGAAAGTCGCAGTGAAAACAAGGTTCCTGTAAAGGGCCGGATCAGCTCCAGGATCGACTATTTGCGGAACCATTGATGAAATCAGCATTGAAACCACCGCGACGGGTCCTATGGCAAGTTCCTTCGAAGTCCCCATCACAGCATATATAAGAGGAGGAACAACACTAGTATCTGACACCGATAAAACATCAAAAATCAGTAATTCAAGCATGCCGAGACACACCCTTTTGCTTAATCAATATGTATTATGCACTCAGACAAAACCCAAGCTAGGAAAAACTCTCGTATGAATCTAGTTTCGGTTTCATAACTTACAGAGACCATACTGAGGATCAAGCTTCGCTAATGTAGCATACCCAATGCTCTGCATACAAAAGAAACATGAACATTCACATCAATTGACACTTTATTAGGCGAATAAATTTTATGGCATGTTGGGATACATTAACGTGAACTGTCAGCAATGAAAAAGGAGCGATTTTCAACGCGGCCTATTAGCAAATTCACCTGCGGGATGCAGAGGCTAGCAAGAGTAAGACCAGACATCAGATCATTCTTGAACTGTGTAGCTTTATAGCTCCTGCACCATTGAAGAACAGGAAATATTGCCTTGAGAACACAAGCCACACGTTGGGTCACTGGCTTCTTGTTCAGCGAAGACAACTTGCACCCGCTAGGCAAACCAATCCCTCTCAGATAATCCGCAACCTCTCGCCATGCGCTCGGCGGCTCTGGGGCAGTCATGAGCCACCGGGACCTCTCTCCATGGCCGACAGTCTTCTCAGGGTCGGCCGTGTTGGCTTCTTCATTGCCTGAAGAAGCCACTCTTGCTTGCTGTTGTTGTTGGTGATGTTGAAGTGTTTGGGAGAACTTGGAGAGCTGGGTCTCTCTGTCTCTTGCGGCCGCGACATCCGCTGCCACTGCGGGATCCTGAGTCCCCAAACTCGATGGAACAAGAACCATCAGGGAGAATGTTGATGATGCTCAGAGAAGTCCTCGACCCGACAATCCGGAGCCCCAGGAGAAAGTGATATTGTAGCACTAATGATCAGAGAGGCCTACATGTTATCAGATTCCAGCAAAACTAGGACAAGCCAAACTGGTGAAATTTCTAAGAGTTTAAGCTGAAAATTTCTCTGCTTATTTGGTTGCTCTAGGAGTAAGTGACTTATTCTGAATGGATGATACAAGTTTATATATATGCTGTGAGAGGTGAAAGTGAATATGGTGGGAGAAGTGAAACTGAGCACTCCAATGATAGATGACTTCTTTTTAGGCTTTAGCTGCACTATCGTAGGGAAAAAGTTGTGGCCATATAGATAAAGAAGAATAGGGGAGAGAGATTCGGTAATGGATGGCTCTGCTTCTTGCGTTGTATGGTGTTTTAGGAGATCAATTATATAAATTGGATCTGGGTCCTTTACAGATTGGAGGCAAAAGGATTCAATGCTGGTAGTGTTCATTACACGAAGAAAAGGGGCTATCGAATTGAGCAACGCGCGATGCTTGAATACATCATCAGGACGCATGATCATAAGTTCGAGTCCTTACGAGTTCAATTTTTATTAAGACTCTCTTGAGTCGCAATAATTATTTGATTACGACAGAAGAGGAAGAATGCTCACATCCGATGGGGTTAATCGTGTGTGTTAGACTAATCTTCTTTTTCCGCAAATTAAAATGGCACGGGTGTATAATGTATTTCTAACGATTTTCTTATAAGGCATAAGCGCAGTGGCACAGGCTTATGGAGCGCCCTCAACACCGGAACGGTCAAATCTCAGTCTTTGGCCTGTGCAAGTACCCTAACCCCAAACAATTTACACGCAGTCAATGGGATTGGAGCAGGTAACCTCCAGTTTCTAAACTGGAATTTCCCTAACACCCCTGATAAACTGCGCCAAGACTCAACTCTATATTGTGAAATGGGCATGGCTCCTACTTTATACGAGCAAGATGTCCACGAGTAAAGAGATGACAAGAAACTGAACCCTTGACCGGTGGTCTGATACTACATTAGACTAACCATTTTACCCAAAAGTTTAAGCTGATAGACCGGTGACCGGTTTCATACTCAAATACTTCAATATTCCTTTCCATGCGTAGATTCGACTTTTAGCCGAAGAATAAAGCGTGGAAAAATATAATAGGTGAGACAAATAAGAGTCTAAATGAACACGTGACTTATTCTTTCAATATCATATTAACCAAATATTGTATTCCATAAGTTTAATATGTTAGAAAACGGGCAAGCCCTGTATCACCAAACTTGAATAAGTAAATAAATGAACTTCCACTCCACTTCGTAGGTCCAATAAGGACAACCTTATTCGGATATGAGCAAAGAACAACCACTAGTAGAGACTCTGTTCATCTCAGTGCGCTGTCACTGTTTCCATTAGTGGTCGTGCCCTGCATTTTCAAAGTAAGTTGTGTGTTTGTGGAGGGGTCTTCTACTAGACTTTATTGATACCCCCGAAATCAAATGGAAATGCAGATTCAAGAGGAAAATCTGTCAGGTTCTTGCCTTCCCATTTTAGGGGAGTCTATCGCTTCTTCGGTAAAGTAACTTATCCATATTTCCATTGAAGTATATCTGATCGGAAAGTATGTAATTATAGCCCAAATTGGTACGTAGAAAGGCCACGAGAATGATTACAGTTTCCCTCTTCGCTTCTGGGATGAGAAATAACAATGAGCAGCCTAAAAATCGATTCGACCCGGAATGGTTTTAAATCGACTCTTGTTATCATTGGAAAATTAATCGATTTATGATTAGATATATCCTATCATTCTCTCTATATCTGTCTCCCACCGTCATCGGCGACGAATTGCCGCCACAACCTCGTCGTTCGGACAGAAAGAGAGGAGAGAGAGCATGTACCGGGAGGTCATGGTTTAAGTACAATGAAAGGTACATCCAACCTGAATCCAAACTTCAAGAGATGTTGAAAGAGAGGAAACTAAAGTGGAGATTTGGTGGGCATCGTGACACTTCGGGTTCAACCTTTGCTTTTCACGATATTAGGAAGTTGTGTTTTAGATGCAATGCACCCAGACATGATCTTGTCCAAGCCAAAGCGTTTTTGGAGAGCTATTATTATGTTAAGCAGCCATGATTAGCCCCAATGACTAAGTTTTACGGAAAAATTGTTCAAAAAGTCTTAAACTTATTATATGGCAACCAATTCGATCCCAAACTTTTCAATTTTGTAAAATTTAATCCTAAATCTTTTAACAATTTTCTAATATAGTCAATCTTACCAATTTTGGCTGAAAATCACTGATGTGACAGTCTGGCCTTCACTGACCATCTTATGTGGCACGGCCAATGCTAACGTCAATGATTTTTACAATTTTTTAAAAATTTTAAATTTTCTATTATTTTCTTTTCTTTTTGTTCTTATTTTTTCATAGTTCAACTATTCAAAATCGCCAGTAGGGGTCGCTGGGCCCTCGTTGGCTGTAGGCGAGGGTCATGGCCCTCGGCGAAATAAGGCTAGGGTTTATTGCATGCAGTATGATCTTGCGCTCTGCGAGCTATGCGTTACAGATCATGAGCTGCATCATGGGCTTCATATCATTGAGTTTTCGCATCACCATCTCGTTCTCGTGCATCCTCACGAGATGCAGGACCAATTCGATTGTTCCAAAATTGAGGTTTTCTATGTCTATTGATTCCCATACCATCTTCATTAAGAATGATATGAAAACCCGATAGGGGCCTCGAGGCCTCGCCCAGATCTAGGCAAGGGCCACAGTCGGCAAGGGCTTGTAGGCCCACCCAGTGGCTAACAAGGGCGTGCAAGTACTCTCCTAGCATCGACCAGGGTTGCTGGCCAACACTGCTGCCCTAGCGACCCCCGTCGTCCCTTCCGAGAAGATGAAAAGTGCAAAAATATACATAAAATTTATAATAAATAAATTACAAAAATCGTCCACGTCAGATCGGCCATGCCACGTAAAACAGTTGGCATTCACGTCAGCATTTTCTAGCCAAAATTAGCCGGAAAGATTACATTATAAAATCGTAAGAAAGTTTAGGACTAAATTGGCCAAATTGAAAAGTTTAGAATTGAAATAGCCGCCATACAATAGGTTTAGGACTTTTTGGACAATTATCCCTAAGTTTTACATTACTTGATGTTATGGGACTTTTACTCTCAGTATTTTCCCAAACTCAAGAATTTGATGCACGTATGGGAAGCACGCATGTCATACTCGATGATCCAACGACTAAAACATAGTCCGATCATCATTCCTGGACCACCTGGTAAAAATCACATGTGACCTCGGTGGGGAGAATGCCAATACAAGTTATGGAGAGATTAGCTCGGTCCTTCAAAATTAAGTGGAGGAACAACATCTCAAGATTCATTTCTCGATGTCATGGCTTGCTTTTGATTATTTTGAAACGATAGACTTTATCCGAGCACATAGAGATATATGTTAAACAATCATTTATAATGAGCTTGTTTGGGAAAGATTATGACATGAACGGCTTGCTTTTGATTAGATTGAAACGATAGACTTTATCCAAGCGCATTTATAATGAGGTTATTTGTGAAAGCTTATGACATGAACGGCTTGCTTTTGATCAGATTGAAATGATAGACTTTATCCGAGCACATAGAGATACATGTGAAACAATCATATATCATGAGGTTATTTTTTAGGAAGTCTATAGTTAGCTAAATATTAGATACAATCACATTAGTATAATTGTTCATAAAAGACTTAAAGGGTGTGTTTCTTTTGAGAAAAACTTCATAATAAGATAAAATACTTTCTGGGTTCAGATTATATTCATTTTCATAATTTTAAGCATACATAATTTCTTTGACCATAAATGATTTTTTATTGACTGGTTATTTTCAGCAAACCAAACGCGTGAAAATCCAAAAAACTAATTCATATAAATTTATTTCACTTAAACAAACACACCCAAAGAATGAGTAAAATGGGGCCATATCTTACCTGTTAGTCATTGAACCGTATCCGCCTAGCAAACTTCAAAATGACAACTTCAAGTACTCCAATTTGAATGTTGATTTTTCTTTCTTATTTGGGAAAGATCTGTTTTAGATGCAATATCTACCTGTTAGTCCATAAGCAATACATTAAATGATCACATAGCGCTCAAACCATTGGTAAAATCAGGCCAATTGTCCAGAGCCTCCACACCTTTGCCTGAATACATTGAATGTAGACATCATTCTTAAGTAGTGGCAATCGTTAGTTCTATGTGTTGACCTACTAAGAGGTCGTGGATTGTGCGCACTGAATTCAAAAAGGACCATGATTATCACTATAATGAAGGGCAACATCCAATTTGAATCCAAACTTCAAGACATATTAAAAGGCAAAAGTAAGCTAAGTGGTATCATGTCAATGGGGATTTGCCTTGGCATTCGCACTAGGAAATTGTGTTCTAGATACACTGCATCTAGACATCTTAAGAGGGAAAACTCCTATAAAATTCATATTCATATCGTATTTAGGACTTCTTTCACCAATTCGTGTTTTATCTTGTGTGGCGTAAACGGAAGCATTTTTTGGGGGGACAACTACATAGTTTTCAGCATGCGTCCCGACCTCAATGATTGAGTTTTGGTTTGATTTTATAGGAGTTTTCCTTTTAACTTGTTTCATGTCTCAAACATTGAATATGATGGATTGCACGGGATGTAAATTTTATCACACTGTAACTAAAGAACAAGTAAGCGGTCCACTGCACATAAGCCTTCGAGCAAAATTTTGCTGTTTCGTGTCCCAATTAGGCTTGGTTAATGTCGAAAAAATGTAGGCAAACGAATGATCGGTGACTTTTTTTCGGATAACTTTTTGATAACTTACTCGCATATTTATGAACAACTCTTTTTATTATTTTCAAATTAACAATATGTACTAATTTATCAACTTTTATTTGCATGACTTCAATTATGAAATTACCAACCTAAATTATAATATTTACCAAGTTTTCTTTACTAACTCGTATATGAAATTGCCAACCTAAATTATAGTGTTTACCAACTTTTGTCAAATTATATTAGCAACTAGTTTTAGGTACTAACTCTCGTTTAAGTTACTTATCAACATTTAATTGTTTTTTCCAATTTATCAATTTTTCTATTAAGTAACCAATTTATTTTTCTTAGTTAACAACCCCTTACATTTATTAACTCTTTTTAGAAATTATCAACCTAAATTAGTGTGACTCACTAGATTTTCTTCCATTAAATGACCATTGTTTGTAACTCTCATTTAAATTACTTACTATAGACAAAACCCCCATCCTTACAAGACAATGGTAGGAATTCCGGAAGACCGACACACAACGAGCATTTATCCTAGGAAAAAGTCAGAAATC